AAAAAAAAAAAAAAAAAAAAAAAAAAAAAAATAAAAAAAAAAAAAAAAAAAAAAAAAAAAAAAAAAAAAAAAAAAAAAAAAAAAAAAAAAAAAAATTAAAAAAAATTAAAAAACAACAACAAAAGAAACAGAATAATCAAAAATGGACAGTAGAATTAGAAAGGTTTAAGTTTGGACTGTGACATAACTTAGTGGGCACCCTGATTTAACAATGACATAGCTGAGAAGGCACCATGATTTGACAATGACATAGCTTAGTAGGCACAATAATTCGACAATGACATAGCTTGGTAGGCACCATGACTTGACAATGACATAGCTTAGTAGGCACAATAATTCGGCAATGACATAGCTTGGTAGGCACAATAATTCGGCAATGACATAGCTTGGTAGGCACCATGATTTGACAATGACATAGCTTAGTAGGCACAATAATTCGACAATGACATAGCTTGGTAGGCACCATGATTTGACAATGACATAGCTTAATGGGCACCATGATTTCACTGCCACAAAGCTTGGTAGGCACCATGATTTGACTGCGACATAGCTTGGTAGGCACCATGATTAGACTGCAATATAGCTTAGTGGGCACCATGATTTGACTGTGACATAGCTTATTAGGCACCATGATTCGACTGCAATATAGCTTCGGAGGTACTATGATTTGACTGCGACACAGCTTTGCAGGTACCATGATTTGACTAGGACATAGCTTTTTAGGTACCAAGATTTATCTTTCATGGACCAGTGGAATTTCACTATTGGCTGCAGTGAAAACAATGTATTCATTGTATCATACACTGTAAAGTTTCACTATTCCTGATCTGAACTACATATGACTTAGCAAGTTAAAGTAATGTGCTGTGTTTTCAAACTTTTTTGATTTTCACAAGGAATAAAATCAGATTTCCTTCTCCTAATGGAAGGATACCATCAGCCTCACCTTCGCCTTTGTTGAGCCACTCAGCAGCGCTGCCAAGGTGTTGATCACGGAACAAGCAAGTCTTTGAACGTCTTCACCCTGAAACTACAAGTTTGGATCACAGTAAAGTTTCAGCAACTCTTGAAAGTTGTGACAATAAATGCTTATTCCATAAAGGGCGGGCCGGCCTTGGCAACTCTGGCGCTCAAGGCAGGTCAAAATTTTGGCACCCCCTTCCCCCTGGTAATTTTCAGGTTGATGTTAATAATTTTTAAAATTTGCTGCTGGAGAAGACTGAAGAATAGAGCCCTATATTCCTAGCCGTCTTTTTCAGGCAATCACATACAAACAATAAAACATAATTGTTATTTAGATTTTAGGGAGCAAAATTAAAAACTAACTTGTTCTAAACTAAAGCAGATTTGTTTGAAAAGGAGCAACTCCAACCAGATAAAATTCCGACCTTCAGCATACAATAAATATACATTTTTTAAATTTTAAATAAATAAACTGGAACAATAACTAGTATTTGTCAACTCCTACAGTCTTCTTGGATTGATTACATTCGTCAAGTTCTTTTCACACGTTGAAGCGTCGTATTATTCTCACTATCATCGAACAAACTCAACTCCTTTTCATAATAACTATAACTTTAATGTATAAGTAAATATAATACACATAACATGTGAATATAGCGCAGCTCGCTATCAGACCTAAATAATACACATCCTATCACTCCAAAGCTCCACTCAAGACTGCCGCACGGCTAAAACATACGTCACAATACTGCATAGACAATACGTCACGAATCAGCATAAAAATACGTCATAGAGACAATGGCGGGAAGAGCGTTCAGTAACTATAATAGTCAAGCGCGGGAAAAGCGTTCAACAACTAATGAACATAATATTGAGTCGCAACAATTACTAATGAACGCTCATACTCGACAGTATGCTATTCTACAACAAACATTTCTGAACGTTGCAGAAGAAAAATCACTGTTGATGTCATCTCCATAATAGTTGGCTGTTAACATCATTTTCAATAGACATCCTCTCCAAAGATTTGAGCCTTTGCCGAGTCCAATAAGCTCTTACACATGTTTAAATCAACTTTTCCTTAGAACAAAATTATTTCTCTAGTTACAGGGCTGAATCAAATTTTCAGCAAAATTCTAAAAGGAATTACTGTAGATGGACAAACATCCATTGTGAGTCTTTCAAAGGCCCCCTACCACTTTTCACTATCAAAATTGTAGTTTCTTTTTTTCCACATCACAACTCTGGGCCCCTGAAATATAAGAGTCCAATTTGCAGGACCCCCGTGACCACTCTGACGGCCAAGCACTGACTAGACTACCCACGTGACCACTCTGACGGCCAAGCACTGACTAGACTACCCACGTGACCACTCTGACGGCCAAGCACTGACTAGACTGCAAACCTTTTAGAACATTCAGTGGTGATTTCTTGCATAGCAGCATGTGTATCGGTAGGAGATAATTTTTGTAAG